ATCCATATAGCATGATTTTTTTTCTGCTGGATACTTAGTGCACTTCATCTAAGCACTAAGCTGTAGCTGCCCATTTAGAAATTAGATATTCTTGGAAATAACTGGCATTTTGCTTTATCTGCTAGTTTCCCATTTTTTGAAATTAAAATATATATTTTAATATGAATTCCAGTTGATATTGGTATCTTGGATTCAAGGTGCTCCTTGTTAACTAGAAAGCCCCATATAACACACAGCCTGGTTACTTGAGGCATTGACTTTCTCCCATAGTAATTGCCAAGCCAATTTGATTTGGCAGCAATGCTGTTTATTGGATCCCTGAAAGCATGCCTTGTTATAGCAGTAGTTGCCCTCTGAAATGAGGATGGGGGAAATGAATATCCTTGGCCAGGATTTGGAGCTTACTCTATTTTTACATTGTGGGGTATCCACTTTTTTCATTGTGTTATTCAGCTTTGCCATGACATGAATATATTGCAAATATGTTCTTGGATTTTCGAATTTTGTCTTAGACCTGATGCTTGAGAAAGAGACAGGTTCAGAAATCATCAGAGAAGAAATATAAAATTCTGACAATTCTAGTGACTAAGCAAGCTATTCAGGTGACCTACCAATTTTGATAGTGTGACCTTGTAAATTGGAAGTAGGCCTCCCCCCCCCCAATGGGTATATCTAGGATCTACATTAGACAGAATTGTTCCTAGTCAATCAAAAGGCAAACCAAGGGATTGCTATCCACTTTGAGCAATATTTTAAAGAGGACAATAGATCAGGGGTGTCAAACCTGATTTCCATTGAAGGCTGCATCAGGGTTGTGTTTGATCTCAGAGGGCTGAGGTGGGCCTAGCCACCTCAATGTCACCACAATGAGCCTCCCTAGGCTCCATTTTCACTGCAAGAGGGCTGCAGGAGGCCGTCACGGCCGAAAACGGAGCCTGGGAAGGCCTCACACAGTCCTCAGAGCTCCATTTTCACTGGCAGAGACACCATGGGCCAGTCCTTTACTGTTCCCATGGCAGCCCTGCAGGCCAGATCTAAGCACCCTACGGGCTGGATGCGACTCACAAGCCTTGAGTTTGACATCCCTGCAATAGAGCAATCTAATGAATAAATACCTTCCTTGGCTTCTTCAACTATGGTATAGCTTTCAACACATCTTTATGCCCTGTTTTTCTAAATAACACATAAATGCACACACACACAAAAATAAGGAGAGAAATATTAATTACTGAAAAACTATATCCTAAGAGAGACTCCCCACCAAGAAATATAAAAAGTAATTTAAAAAATTCAACTTTTTATATACTGTGCATTATCAGAATTGCATCCATCTTAATATTCTAGAATAAATTTGAGAGAATTAAGGGAGGCTGAAGGAGAGGTAGGAGGGTATACCTATTCTGTATCAGTTTTATTTTTATTTAATCATCAGTCTGCCCAATCTAGCATAATGATATTTTTTTAAAAAAAATAATAAAGTGGAAATTATTTTCATGTGCATTTTTTTAAAATATACTGTATATTTAGTCACTATCTCTTGCCCAATTTCTCCAAATATACTTGTGACTTTATAGGACACACACACATACACACTGTATATAGAAATATATATGTGTAGCTTCTGTTTAATACTCCCCCAAATATTTTTTGCAATGTCTGGACCAAAATATATTCTGGTTAGCAGCAGACTATGTGAATTATGTACCATGTGAACATGATAGATCCATTTTGGTAACTTATGCCGTGTCTCTTGAAATTAACTTTATAATGGATTTTTCAGGCAACCTTGGAAGAAAATGCTGCCTTGTGATTATTGTAATATTTGGATTCCACCATAGAGAATTATTTATACATTTATAAACCATTTCAATCAACCAACTTTATATAGGTAAACAAAAGTAAAGCTGCAGCCAATGCAGCAGTAAAAATGAAAATGCAATACAACAGTATTGTGATGATGATGTTATCCATTCAGTCGTCCCTGACTCTTGTGTGTCAAGAGGCAGGCTCTGTTGTCCATATCTTCCAAACTCACACTGCTTCTTTGGTAATAATGTACAATAAAACAAATATGGTTTACATTGACAGTTAAAAATTATAATGAATTGTTGGAAAATTCATGATAACATTCCTGCCAGGTTTTTAATGAGCTTCTGGGAGGGCTGGAAAGTTGGAGCTACCTTGCTTGGGAGACAAGCTGTTTAGAAGAGAGTTCTCACAGAGATTCTCTATTTTGGGGTTTCCTCCTGTCACCATCTTTCAATACAGTACCTAGAAGTGCTCAGACATCTTCTGATTCTGATGGGCAGAATCTATATCCATAGCAGTCTCAAAGATGCCTGGTCTGTCACATTGTCTATCCCAAAATCATATGTGATAGCTTCAGGAGAATAAAGATTTTAACTTTTTTACTGCTTTAATTGGGAATCATCTTATGTATGTTTTTGATTGCTATAGAACTTTGCTTTTGAATGCAATGATACTTTGGTCTCTATATAATATTTGCATCAAATTCATTTTTAATAATTGTATCCCAGGAAACATAACCCATTAAACATAACCCTGGGGAAAGATTGCTACTTAAAAAATTATGAAATTTGATTTGTGCTGGAAGCTTTTAAAGCTAATTATGTTTCTTCTCAAAATACAGGAAGAATTACAAAAGAATGAAGGATAAACAATACGTCTTTTCTCTCTTTAGTTGTCAACAGATATGCATAAATTCTGAATTTAACTGTAAGGAATTAAAAGTAGCCTCTTGGGAAAGGTTCCATCATAAGCATCATTATCAATGTCAGGCAGACGATTTTGTTAGTATTGTATGAAAAGCTTTAGAAATAGTTCTTCAACTGCAAATGACTGGATATATGTCATGTATTTTGTTTGAGGTTGCTTGGGAGCAAAATTCCATGATTTTAATAGACTCCTTATCCAACAAATAGATTTAGTCCCAATTGTACAGAATTAAGTAATGCTGCAATTTCCATTAAATTCCTTCAGATTTTTTTTTTTTTTAAATCCAGTTGTGAGAATGGCAAATGTAATTAGAAATCTACTATCCTTTGCGTTACTGAATAAGTCTCCAAAACAAATCCTCTGGCCTGAATTTTCATGTCAATATTGTCCTCTTCTCTCAAAACAGTTGTCAAAGAATGTAATTTACCCAATAACTTTTAATATTTAGTCCATTAACTTCTAGTATTCCAGTTGCAATTTATCCAATAACTTTAACATTAAAGTTGGAGGCTTGCAGTAGATGGGATTTTGTTGAAGTGCTGATTATTGTCTTTTTAGCTACAAGCTGCTGAATGAGTTTGAACTATTGTCTTGCTGCATTTGCTGAGACCTTAGGGTGGTTTGTGATTGTTTATTTGGCAAAATAAATAAAAAAGGATATTAAAGGTAAAGGAAAAATGAATCGGTAACAGATGAAAATAAAGTGTAGAAACAAAGAAAAATAATTGCTTTTTTGATAATATAGTTGCTGACATGCAATAATGTCATAAGAAGACCCTGTGTAGAATTGACTTTTAATAGTAAAAGGCTATAAAACTGAATTCTTATTTCTTCCTGAATCCAAATTAAAGCATCTACTTTAATCTTGGCATGAGTATATCAAGTGAATGAGAGTTCCTTCTCTCCCTTATTAACTGATTGCCGAACTAATCTTATCATTATGGAGTTTGTCTAACATTCAATTAAAATCTGCTTTGATGTAATTTAAACATATTATTTCTTGTTCTGGCCTATGGAATGATGAAGAACCGGTTTTGGACTTTTTCAGGGTTGCATTATTTCATTTACTTTAAAAGTGCTGTTGGGTCTCCTCTTGACTTGATGAGATCAAAAATGTCGCCATTCTTCAATCACTCTTTATAGGTTTAATTTCTAGATCTCTAGCATAGAAATTAAGATGAAGTACAGGTATTTGGCATATGTTTTCATAGGCTGCTGTTAAAATTTGAGTACTATAGCAAAAAGAATGTATGCTATTAAACCTGGTTAAGCATTTCAAACTCTTAATTCCTCAGCTTCAATACCAGCTTTAGATCTTGGCCTTAAGTCATAAATTAATTAAATCATATATTTTCCTTTATTTGTATAAACAAATCAAATTGTTTACATGCATTGGATTTTTTTCCTAAGTCAATTTATGGTAATTGTTCTCTGATAAACTCAAACTTAGAAGAAAATACTTCTTTTTAAAATACCCCATTTCAGGTTCCCCTGGACCATCAAGTGATCACAGTAGTCGTGCTTCTTCCCCTCTCTTTGACAGTGGTTTACATTTAAATGGAAATTCAACAAATACAGTAAGTAGATTAATAATATTATTAATAACCTAGCTATGATAGCAGCACATCACTGACTTTGCCTTATCTAGAAAGCTAAGCAGGATCAGGCCTGGCAAATATGTGGATAGAAATCAATGTTGTAGTCTATATTGGGAAATGAAAAAAAATCCAATAAGAAGGCAGTGGCAAACCTGTTCTGTAACTTGCCATGAAAATTGCCTGAATATGTCAGTCTAAGTCACCCAAAGTTGAGTTGGACTCAAAGGTGACTTTGTTGATCTGCTTCTTAAACAAAATGAAACAACTTGAATTTTACTTTCTATAACTGTCTTAGCTTATGATACAGAAAGATAATAAGTATGCTGTGTCTCGAAAAATACTCAAAAAATAGCTTGGTATAACAGTAGCAGAGCCAGCTGTGGCCACAGATCTCTCAGTGAGTATACATTATGAGAGGATTTTTTTGTTGTTTTTTAAAATAAATAATAAACTGTTGCCAAAGGTAATACAAAATGTTTGGAGTAAGATATAATCATCATATTGCTTGCACCAATTTTCAGTTATATCAATGCCTTGGGACTATTTTTAGGATACGAAACCTAGGAAGGATAGCTAGGATGTTCAGTAAGAAAGGATGAGTTTACTGATAGATGGGATAATCAGCAAAATACACAATCTTAGAGATCTTCTTTATCTTATCCAGGCTAGTTTTATCTTTGGATCATTTTATTTTTGTGAGTTGAACTCAATCCAGAAAGACACTAAATTGGGACATGCTGTTTAAGGCTAGATACATGGCCTTTAAGCTTCATTTAGCAACCACAAATGGTTCCTAAGCAAACCACATGAAAAAGAAAGACACACACTAAGGAGATCACTGGTTGCTTCTGCCTCATTTAGATAAAACCTGCTCAGAGTCATTTGTTTCGTGAGATGAATGGCTATGTAAATTAGGTGGGTAGATAGGTAGGTAGATTTCTCTTGTGCCACAATGCCAGCATTCTCTCATTCCCATGTACCGGTATGTCTCAGGTGCAAGACAATTGTCTGTAAATGGAAGAATTGAACAAAAATGAATTTTTACACCATTTATTATGATTAATTACCATTATATTTTCAAATGGTTGCTATCTGAGGCAGGCGCTAAATGAAGACCACCTGCAAATGGATATTGTGGTGGTGAAGCATGCTTACGTAATGTATTTGCAGTTCTTTAAAAATGTGCTTCTCTACTTTAAATTGTAACATGCTGTAAACAGACTTTATCATTCCACTGAGCTTTAAGGCAGAAAGAGAATAGTTGTTCGGGTAGTACATACGAAGGCGAGTGCAATGAAGACCATCAGACTGTACAGACAGATGCCTCTGTTTATCTGATATCACAACTCAACTCATGGAGACAAATGGCTGCTCACTGTGTACATATTTCTGTTTTCCCTGGATGGAACTAGAGAGATTTGGAGCGAAACTGAAGAAAATGGAAGAGAGCAAAAAGCATGCTGATTATTTGGAAAAAGCTACTCTCTTTTAGTTCTCTGAAGCTGAATCCTCTGATGTGCTACATCACTTCACACAAGATGCCTTATACCATAGGTGGGCTACATGGTGCAAGGGACAGGAATGCCAACAAAAGACTTTATATTTCATCTCACGATGCAAAAAAGTTATAAGGTACTTTTTTTAAGATACAAAAAGTTTCCATCCAGGGAAAATTGAATATTTCTTCGAGAACAAGAAGCCATGATTCAAATACTGGCGGAGAGAGTACTACCTTTATAGCTTATTTGTTGAAAGTATAAATACACAAATTTACATTTACCATATTAAACTGTAATCCCAATAGATGGATGAGTTGATTAAGAAATATTAATTAAAAACAAGTAATAGTAGAAATGGCATCAATTCCAGTTGCATGCTGTAGGATATTTTATTTCGTGTGTGTATCTTTTTTCAACCACTCTGGCGTTTTCAGAGAACCATCATTCCATCTCCTGCGCTGCTGTGGTACTTGCAGAATATTAATACAAGGCATGGATTTAAAGTCTGTTTGTTTTTCTTGTTCTATATCATGTTTATGAGAACGAGGATGTGTGGTTGTTTTTTAACCTTTCTTTTAAAAAAATAAGAAACAGTCTTACTAGAATGCAGTTATAGTTTTCATCTTTCTCTATATATTGTGATCTTTTTTTCATTCAAAACATGCATCTGTGAAATAAAATCCATAGATAAAGAACAGTACAGATTACCAGGAAAATTCTTTAAAACTATATATATTCGGAGAAAAGGTGAGTTTGTAAAGACCCAGCAAAAGTAAGAGAAAAATAGAAAATTATTTTAGAAACAAGTTAGAAATATGTTCTACTTCCAAAATTGAAGGTAAAAGCAAAGCAATCACTTAACGTCACATTTCAAGAGTTTCAGGTATGACGCTGATGTCTATTAGATCTGATAGGGTTTGAAGTAAGAAAAATGGATATTTAATTAAATAACCCAGAAAAATTGGTTGAGGAAACTATTGCATGCAACTGAGTTATTGCTTTCCCACAACAGGGAGAAATCTGCTAAATGATTTTCAGACTATTTTACTGTACTAATTTAAAATAGTAAATAATAAATACTTTTAGTTAATGTTTAATATAGTTTGATCATCAGACAGTTTGAGTATTTTTTAACATTTAAATATTTTATTGGTAAAGTATAACAACTAGAAGATATGATGAAGTACAACCAAAAATATAATATTGCTGATGTAATTAAAACCAATATAAAAGTAGTGATTTAAAGAAGTGATATATGAAGAAACTAAAGCTATAGCCATAAAGTATTACATAGAAATAGTTCAATATTTCAATATATTATTAAATGTAATCATATAGACCATCTATTACTCCATCTTCTCAGTTTTAATATAGTACATTATTTCAATACAACATATAATAGACTTAGATTCTTAATGTTGTTATTTAGACATCTTAGAATAATGAGCATAAATGAATATTTTATCAATATTCTGTCACAATTAATTACAGTTTGGGATATTTATTTTACAACCAATATGATTATTTAATCTTTTCTTTAAAATTAAATATAACTTTGGAAATGTATGAAAATAAAGGAAAAACATATCTCAGGATATTTTTTTAAATAGTAAGGCTTTTGGTCTCAAGCTAAATTAACTTAATATTAAATTCTCCATCATTTTATTTGTTAGGATCCACCAAATTAAGCGCACAAAACAATACAGACAATCTAAAAAGCCACCTATCAGCCCAAATATTTAATATCTATTATTTAGATATTTACTTACAAAAGTTGGTAAAATATATTTCCAAAAGTCAGTCAGTATGATGAAAATTATTTTATAGTACTGGAAAACAGTTATTGCATAATCAGTAAGAATGCTGTTATTTAAAGGCAGTAAAGAACAGTCAGTAATATTGAAGATGGTTTATATCTACAGTACTGTAGTTGTACTGTTTGAATGAAATGTTTATTCACTTACATGATGTGCCTCTGCAAATATTTCACCTTTCAAGCATGAAATGATTTTTTCCTATGAACTATTTAATGATAAACAGTTCATAGGAAAAATGGTAGAACCAAAGAATTTTAAAATCATACAAAGAACATACAACCTCTAATTTCTTTTTCAATTTTTGCTAATGTTTTAATATAAATTTAGAGCCCATCAGGTTTTTAAAAATTGTGTTATTTACTAACTAGTAAAGTTATTTACTATAGATAACGTTAAAGTCCAATGTTTAATTGCTAAATTTATAAGTAATAAAGATGGAGCATTAAACCAAACAAAACCTGCAGGCTTTGGCTTAGGTGGACCTTCACATAACCAAATTATCAGCTGTGTTTCAGGAAGAGAGGGACAATTAAGGCAGATTCTTCTATTTTCTTATCAAATAAGTATTATCAGTACAGCTAATAGAAAGTCAGTATATAAATATTATTGGCTAATTACTGTTCTACTGCAGTATGATCCTTCACATGTCTTAAAAATCCTAGAGATAGATGTGCACATTCAATTTCCATGTGCCCTATAAATCATATTGTGGAAAATAGTGCAAATGTATTCAGTCAAACAAAACTCCCCATTGTTGCAGACATCCCCACTAAACATAGGGCATTCAGGCATGCAAATGTATAGGCAAATTTCTGAAGAAGCAGAATTTTTTATGCCTATGATTACTTGGTCACCTATATTAATATATACCTAATACACACGTTTACTATTGTATTCAGAATTGTATGGCAGATTACAAGGGTTTTCTGTAGCTTTTTAAAAATTTGAAACTATTATAATTGTAAATAAATGGAAGATAGCATTCTTATATAATAAACTGCAGATTTCTGAAAATATTCTACATAATAGAGTTAAGTTAAAACTAAATCAACAATAGGGGGTGGGGGGAAGGGGGGAGGGGGAAAGGGTGGGGGGAGAAAATGTTTGTATTTCTTATAAAACTTTTTTAATAAAAAAAAACTAAATCAACAATGAGTGGGAAGAAAAACTTGCCACAGATCATTCCGAAGATGAAACATTTCAGAATAACAATAACATTAAAATATATTTGTCCAACCTTGTAAATGGCAATGAAAATGATAGGGGTTTTTTCCCATGTAAGCCTTCCATATGAAGCCAAAAATGATAATGACATTTCTGATATTAAGGCATCTTAAATGGGCCTCCGTACCAAGTTGTTCAGTTCTGTGGGGTGAAAGAACAGAAAGTGCAATGCTTACTAACAGTTGGATAAAATTAACTTTCAGAAATTTACAGTATAAATATGTTGCTATATAGGCGGATTGTTCTAATAATCACCTTGATATAATTTTTTTAGTTCAAGGGATGACAAGTGAATTTTTTTTTGAGTCATCCATTTTTTAATATTTAATTTTTATAATAAAGGCATCTCAAATATTGTTATATTTGCTTATTTTAGTTCTTTAGTTAAAACCCGTCCTATGTACCACAACTCTGAATGGCTCACAACAATAATTAAAACTCCCAAAACAGTGAGACCAAAACTTGATGCTTTGATCATCCTTTCCTAATACATCTACCAATACAATGTCCAGGGTTTAAACTTATTCCATCCCATGCTGGAGGCAACAGATTGATATTTCAATTTTGGGCATATGGGTCCTCTTTTCCCATTTTCTAACCAAAATATTATTATTTCCCCTGCTAGAAAACAATTATTTCTCTCTCCCTCTCTCCCCCTCTCATTTGTGTGTGTGTGTGTGTGTGTGTGTGTGTGTGTGTGTGAGTGAGTGAGTGTGTGTGTGTGTAAAAAAGGGTACTCGCATGATTTCATTTGTTCAGTGAGGGAAGGGCATTTATATAGGGAAGTGGCATTGTATATTGAACAGTATGAGGTGCAAGATTGGCTCAATAGTTAGGCTAAGTGAAGCAGCTGCCTCTCATATGTGAATTAGTTTGTAATAAAAGAGCAAATGTTATATGATTCTTCTAGTTATTGTGAGGTTATGTTGCCAGGGACTAGTAATTACCAATGGAAGAGTGCAGCTTTTACTGTTTGATCGCAGACTATAAAGTAATCTTCCAGTTACAAGTCCATAATGGAGCTCAAAATAATGTTAAATGAAACTGCTTCAAGAAAAAAACCAGACATCCCTGTTCACGTTAGTGAATTGTTAAGTGTCATTAAGTGGGGAGTTTCTGGGAGGCCTAAGGCAAGCACTAGCCCATCTGCCTCAGGCTCCCCCACTGTGAGATACGCCATGCTTCCCACCCTCTGGATGTTGAAAACCAGCCTTGGCACAGCTTGATTGTCTTGCCTAATTTTGTGTGCTTATCAACTGGCAAGTGGGAGGCTGCAAAGCTCTCCTGCCTCTCTAGATTTTGAGAAGACACCCCTTGCATAAAAGGCAGCTTCAAGATCAAGCTTCTCCAAAACTTTCCCTTGCTTAATCTCCTACCCCCACTTCCCCACAAAGCCACATTTCTGCAATTAAAAAAACATTGTAGAACTTCCCTCCCCCCTAACCCCAATTACCGGTAGGTGCTAAAACTAAACTCTCCCTCTGCTCTTCAACCAATTGTCCCTTTTAAGACCCTTACCTTGACTCCAGGCTGAAGACTAAAGGAACAAGCAAGCAAGGAGAGAAAATCTTTCCTCATCCCCCTGAAGTTTAAAAATAAATCATGTCTACAAGTTGGGCCAGAGAATGGAGGACATGGGGACTTGGCAGCCTTTTGCTGTGCATTTGACTGTCTGTAGAGGGGAGTCTACAGTCTAGCCTTTAAATCCTAACTGGCCTCTACAGGCAGTCAGGCAGATCTAAGACGGTTCAGAATCCTCCATTTTCTGGCCTAATCTTTAGGGATTTTTTTTCTTTAATTCATGGGGAAAAAACTGCAGAAAGGTTTTTCTCACCTTGCTCGCTTGGTTCCTCTTCTCTTCAGCCTGGAGTCAAGATAAGGTTTTTAAAAGAGATATTGGTTGGAGGACATGGGGCAAATTTAGCTTTAGCACCTGATCTTCCTTCTCGGCATTTTTTGTTTACATTTTTATTGAAGAAATGTGCCTGGAGGAGGGAGGAGATTAAGCAAAGGAAAGGTTTTGGGAAGCTAGTCATGAAGCTGCCTTTTATGCAAAGGCCCAAAGCCTCAAAGCCTACAGAGGTGTAGGAGAGCTTCACAGCCTCCTGCTTGGGGTCAGCTGATAGGTGCAGAAAGCAGCTGCTATTTTAGGGTTCCTGAAGGTATTAGTGGGGAAAAGGCCTAAATGCTGCAGGAGGTTAAGGGGACAAGACAGGCACAGCAGCATCCCCATGGTCTGTCACAGTAGTGGGTTTCAAAAATTTTTACTAC